AGATGTCGGGAGAGATGGGGTCGAGACCTTGGTCGTGGAAGCTTCGGTGTTCGGGCCAGATGCCGCTGTCGAATATGCCGATGATCACGTTCGACCCCAACTCGGACTCCGACAGCTGCCCGTTATTGTCACTGGCAGAGGACTTCGACTGAATGCCGAGGAAAGTAGGAGAGCGAGTGGTGTGGAGTTGGTGAAGGCGGTCGGGCACAATGGATATGATCCCCGGCTGGCCTGAAAGCTGCGCGGCTTCTTGCCTCGTCAATCTAGCTGAGAAGCCATGGAACGCTTTGTCATAAACGTGAACAAACCTCTCCTCGTCATGCTTGTAATTTCCTTTGAGGCTGGCTCTGTTCCAGTCTCGTGCGCCTGCAAAACCCGATGGCTTCATTCCTGGTTGGACCCTCACGATGTATGTTGTCCGACTCTCCTCCTTCAAGTTTGAACACAGGACATGAGGAATCAGCAACAGACACAAAACCAACAAGACACCAGACTTGGCCTTCAGAATACTACCCATTTCCGTGTTTCTGTATATTGGCAAATTATGTACTACTTTAGAATATGTGTGATATGATAGTCGTCTCGCAAGGGTGTGGGTATATATATTTGTATACGGAGAGCGAGCGAGAAGTTATGCCTATTCCTATTTCCTATATGCATAATATATATTATTTGCATATATTGTTTGTATGCAGCAGAAATAATTATGCCTATGCAGAGTAGGAAAGAGTTGTAATATATATGCCTGGTTTCCTGTTCCTATATTAATTTGGATTGATAAATATTAATTTAATAACTAACTTTATATATATTACTTAGTATGCACGGCCGGGATTTCCTATTGCTTTATTAATTAGGATTGATAATTATTAATTTAATCCAATTATATATAATAATTTCACAACTAACTTACTTTATATATTAATTTGTATGCAAGCCAATTAATTAACCACATTAAGTAATTAATTTTCCAACGTGTGTATAATTATATATTTTAACTAATAAATCATATTATTCTTAATACCATATATATTATTATGATTTTAAATATGAAATTATTTGATTTATTT